CCTTTTTAACATTTTGAAAATGCTCTAGGTTGAAGTTAAGAACAAATATATGCTCTTAATGCATGTTTCTTTTTCTTCTCTGTTGACAAAAAAAATCTTGGGTACTTCTTATGGAATTCACAAACATCTCTTAAAGCACTATTCGTATTTCTGTTATGGACAATACTGTAGCCTTTACTCAACTATTCTTTCTTAAAGACCTAATAGTGGAATCTTCTTAGTGGTTCTGTATTAGTATCTTCTAACAATTTCAACTGAGTTCTTTGGTTGTAGCATGTCTAACTATATGAAGTAGAAAAAACAAATAAATACATACATATGTTCAGAATATTGTATGCCTCATATTTTATATAGACAGTGTTATTGATAATCATGTTATTAGCGTTCAGGTGTGTCTGAGTCTAGAAATAGGAACCCTTTGTTTAGATAATACAGCTAATTCATACAACAGCTGTCATCAATTTCAGGCCTTTTTTTAAAAAAAACTTCTAGGTAACTTGACCTTTTCTTTTTGAACTAAGCTACCATCACTTAGTGTGCCGCCCTTCAACATAGCCTATCTGCCATTGGTTTTTCCTGCTCAGCGGTTGATGCCTGTGTTGTAACCTATAAAGAGGATGTTTAGCTTGAACTAAATTGGTAGATATTGGTGAGACTGTGATAACAACAGTACTGCACAGTTGGATATGATCTGTGGCTCTGCATTTCATCCTGAATCTGTACAAGTAAAAGTGTTGTTACTAGAAAAGATTGTCTTCTTAGGTCTTTTTATATGCTTCAGTAAAAAAAAAATGATTAAATGACAATTAAAACATGAATAGCAATGAGTGTTTAGCCTAGCTGTTAAGACATCCACATTCCATGTTGGAATGCCTGAGTTTGATTCCTGGCTCTACACCTAATTCTAGCTTCCTACCACTCCAGACCCTGAGAAATAACAGGTGATGGCTCAAGTAAGTGGGTTCCTGCCCTCCACAAGGGAGACCTGGATGGTGCTCTTGTCTTCAGCCTGGTCCAGCCCAGACCATTGTGCTCATTATGGGACTGAACCATTGGATGGGAGCCTTCTCTCTCTGAATTTCTCCCTCTCTCTCCCTCTCCCTCTCCCTTATCTCTCAGCCTCTCAAATAAAAAATAATACTTATTTGAAAAATGAATGCTACAAAAAACCAAAACCTAGTGCAGTATTTTAACTCTACCACTTCTAATTCCCAAATATAAGATCAAACTCAGTGTTCAGTCTGGCCAAATCCACTATATTTTCTTATTCTAGAATTTCTTCAAAATAATATTTATATTATACTTTTGCATGTAATTTCATTGTCTTTAGATTTTCTCACATTTGGCCTACAGTAAGAAAAATAATAGACCAACAAATGAATTTATAGTCACCATATTATAATCCATAACTAATTTTTAGAGATGATAAAATGGCGCAGGCTATTTAGTGTTGTGGATTACTAAGAGGGAGATACCTTCCTTTTTGATGCACAGAGCACTGAAACGTAGAGGCTGAGAAATTTTTCATCTGCAAACTGAGAATTTCTCTTCTTTTTTTAAAAAAAAGATTTATTTATTTATCTGAAAGTCAGAGTTACACAAAGAGAGGAAAGGCAGAGAGAGAGAGGTCTTCCATCCACTGGTTCACTCCCCAATTAGCCTATCCAAAGCCAGGAACCAGGAGCTTCTTCCAGGTCTCCCCACGGGTGCAGGGGCCCAAAGACTTGGGCCATCTTCTACTGCTTTCCCAGGCCATAGCAGAGAGCTGGATCGGAAGAGGAGCAGCCGGGACTTGAACTGGCATCCATATGAGGTACCAGCACTGCAGGCAGCAGCTTTACCTGCTACACTACAGGGCCAGCCCCAAGTTTCTCTTAATACCAACTTACCACACCTATCTGCTTTGTTATTTTCTTTTAAATTATAGTCCTCATGTTTATTCATGTTTTGCCATCTCCATTTCCCTACCTTGTCTTAACTGTGATGTAAACTCTCAAAGGGTAAGTCTGTGTTTTATAAAAATTATGTTTATAAATGACTTATGGATGTGCTCCAAAAATATAGTAATAATTCTGATAACCAGGAAATCCCAACAACACAGCTTCTTGAGTTTCTTTAGATTTAGCAAATAACATTTAAATAGCCTGATGATGCAACATATGACACTATAAAGAAGAAAGAGATTGTGTGGCACTTGGTAAGGCTTGTATATAAGGTTAATGTCTATCACACAATTTTGCCCAGATTCTTTTACATGGCAGCATCTATTCATTAAAGGCTGCTGTTAGCACCTTAAAAACTGTGTTGAAACTGAGATTTTTAATTATTTTGTATTTATAGTATTGTTTTCATAACCAAATTATGCATTTTAAGAAGTGATTAAAGTCCCCTATAGCAGCTAGCAGCTGGATAAACTGAACATTAAGTTGGTAACAGAGGTGTCCACATAAACATGGTCTATTAATTGCCTGATCATTGAAGACATTTATCAGCCCCAGGACCTTAAGAGTTAAATGTATAATCAACCCTTTGGGAACCAAATTGTTCTGTCTCACATGGAAAAAAAAATAACTTCCCAGTGAAAAATAAAATCCTCAGTTGGTCATTTATTATCTCAAAGGGCGTATTTTATTATAAATGTCAATTCCACAAAATTATGTGTCCTGTAATACGTAATTATGTTCAAAATTGCACTTGAAATATATTATTAACAGTTAACAGTGAACATTCTTAAAATAGTTATTACTCTTGGCCTTAACACAAAAAGCAATAATGGAGGTATTTTAGGGAGTTAAAAGCTGCAAGGCATTGGCCTTTGAATAAAGCCACCGCAGGTGTGTTTCTTAATGGGCTGTTAATTTTATAGCGGGTGAACACAAAGGACAGAGACCATGTGTGTTTTTAAACTGTGTTTGGTGTGGAGAAGGAGTTGATGGCTGAAAAATATAAAGGCAGTGTGAAATGAGGCCAAATTTAACTTTCCCTCCTGAGGTATAATCCTCCTTGTTTAAAACCAGGGCAAACTAATTCTCTCTCTTCCTCTTGTGTCCCTTCCCTCCCCACTACCACATAACAAAGACTTCCATAGAAACATATTAAATTAACACATAAGAAATAATTAAGAAATATGACAAATAATAAAACTCTGATTGTCCAACCCCCCTCACAGACCAGCTCCTTCTAGGTTGCTGGTTTCTGCTATCAGCACTCTCTAACTTCCAAACTCATAATCATGGGGTCATTTTTGACCCTTCCTAAGTACCTACATGTAATATTCTGTAGAATCTTATGTTTCAGGATTTGAGAAAGGGAGGCTGCAATAAAGCATCACTTAGGAACTTAGAGAAATGTTCGAGTTGCAACTACTGAATTGTGATTTGTATTCTAACAAGAACCCCATCTTGTACACATTAAAGTTTGAGAAACTCTGCTGTAGAATCTTGCTTTGTATTGTCTCTCTTATGTCCTTCCTTTTATCCATTCACACCTCATTGGTTTTCACTAGGATGTATTTTTTCTATGTGAGCTGTTTGGGTTCACCCTAAATTTAGATCTTCATGTCATTGCGCCTGAATTATTGACCTATAATTTCTATATCATCCTTGTGTTCTCTGCTCTGAGTCATCCTATTCCTGCTTCAAGATTAGCCTTTGTAATGTACCCAAACCTCTTATGTATTAAAAACTATTAATGATTTTCCATCATTTACTATATAAACCTTCTTGAATGGCACTTGAGACCCTATGGAATATGATACGATTCTTTCCCTCCAGACCTGTGTCTAACTGCTTCTCAACAAATACACATACCCTACCCCTTAGCTTTACAGTTCCCCTCCTCTTTGTTTCATTTCAAATTGTTCTTTCAGTGTGGAGCACCCTTCTTAATGACTGTGTTGAAATCTCCTCCCTCCTAGTCTAAGGCTCATCTTTAATGCCACTTGCTAAAATAACACTTTTTTGATTCATTCATTGGAAAAATATGTGTTGATCACATACATTCTTTTGCTTACATTTGTTTACATTCTTTTTGATACTGGTGATAAAACAATGAAGAAAATAGCCTCAACCCTTGCCCCCACAGAGATTATACTCTGTCAAGAAAACAGAGAATAAACAACAAATAAATAAAATATGTGGTGTGTTATATGTGAATAAGTACTAAGGAGAAATAAACATTGACAAAGGGGAGAGAGACAGCTAGGAATAAGAAGTATCCTCAACCAAATATCTTTCCTTCCTTTGAATACCAAAAGAACTTATTTTCCTTTATATTATGGCTATTTGTGTATTTGTCCTATTTCCTTTGCTATTTTCTTTTTTTTTTGTCATCTGCTTTTTTTTCTTTTCAACTTTTATTCAATAAATATAAATTTCCAAAGTACAACTTTTGAATTATAGCAGCTTTTTCCCCCATAAACTCCCTCCCACCTGCAACCATCCTGTCTCCCACTCCCTCTCCCATCTTCATCATGATTCATTTTCAATTATCTTTATATACAGGAGATCAACTTAGTATATACTAAGTAAAGATTTCAATAGTTGGCACCCACACAGACATGCAAAGTATAGAGTACTGTTTGAGTAGTAGTTTTACCATTAATTCTCATAGTACAACACATTAAGGGCAGAGGTCCTACATGGGGAGCAGGTGCACAGTGACTCCCGTTGTTGATTTAACAATTGACAACTGTATCTTATTCACCTTTGTATTTCTTGCAGCAACTGAGACAACACTCAGTAAATCGTGGCTAAAATGCATCAAATTGATTGAAATAAATATAATAGGAGTTTAAGAGAAGGCAGAGACTGGCATGATTGGCTAGGGAAAGTTCCTTGGAAGGTATTTAACTGGGGTAAGGCTGGAAACATAGGTGGAGTGAGAAGGAAGAAAGCAGCTGAATTAGTTGTTTTGTTATATCTGTTTTTGAAAAGCTAAAGACTATTGCTTTGTAAATTAAGAGTAATATGATGTGTAATTTTCTCTACCTTTCAAACTAGTGTTTCAGAAGGGACGAGCGATAGACACTGGCGAAGTTGACATTGGCGCACAGGTCATGCAGACCATTCCACCTGGCTTATTCTGGCGTTTCCAGATTACTATCCACCATCCTATTTATCTGAAATTCAATATTTCCTTAGCTAAGGACTCTCTGCTGGGAATTTATGGCAGAAGAAATATTCCACCTACACACACTCAGGTATTTGATATTATATTTTCTTGAACTTGTTTTGAGAGTAGTGGGTTGAACAGTTCAGGATTTGTTACTTGTGAAGTATAGGGGAGGTAAAGGTGAGGGCAGAAAAATTTTTGTAATGAACAAATATCAAGAATAATTGCACAGAAACAAATGAAAAATAAGTGGCAGAGAGAAATAAAGAATATCATTCACCAGGACAGATTCAGAAAAGAGAGCTTATGAAAATATTCTTTATACTTGACCTCTGCTTAATGGAACAGGGTGATCATGAGTTTCCAACCCTCTAATCTTAGCTTTACAGCCCATACAACCTCTCTGGTTGTGTACATCCGTATGCCCTTCTCCCAATGAAGAAATATACTCATTCAGAACTTTTGGGAAATCGATCCAAAAGGCAGGTTTTATCTTACAGATAGAAATTTTTCTTTGCTATTATTAATGATAACTCAAATATATAAAACTTCTATAGTTTTCATAACCCTTCCTCAAACTTTAATCACTTCATTTCTCTTGCTTTTTTCCCTCTTGCTCCTTCCCTATGTAAACTCATTGGGAGCTCTACTCCAACTGGGAAGTATTGAAAGGACTCAAACATCTGGGTCTTGCTTTTTTTCTCAACAGATATGATTACAAAATCGTTACCTTCTGGGCCAGAAAATGCAGGGAATTCAAATGCCATTCAAATGTTACTCTTAAAAAATGTATAAATGTTCAAGGATACATGTGCCTTGAGCCTGTCCACTGATTAGGAGGGAGTATCCTTTCAATATTCAATTATGTTAGAACAAAAGTTGTAAATTATGGTGAATGTTCTCAAATTTTTGACTGTTCATTTATTGTTTTAGAAACTGTAAAACTGTCTTAATTTGTAAAGAAGGTCACTGTAACATTTCTGAGCAGAATGTGTGTTTTCAAGTGTCTTCTATCAGATACTTTAGTAAAATGTCAAGATTCTCTTGCATAATACTACAGGAGATTTCTTTTTCTGTTTCTTGGCTTGTTTTCAAATGGTTATTTTGAATACTTTCAAACTGAAAGGTTTATAACATTTATAAATATTATGAAGCTTTTTTTCAGAATTGATAATATACTCTTGAATTCAAATATGCTTAAGAATTAATAACCTTCTCTTCCACTTTGCCCACCTCCGAAGCAAAGAAGTAGGAAACAGAGCAACTGAAGTTAGAGATGTTTATCAGCCAAGATATAAAAATTAGTGGTTCATATCTGTGATTGTATTTGTTCCAGTTTGATTTCGTCAAACTAATGGATGGCAAACAACTGGTCAAGCAGGACTCCAAGAGTTCTGATGATACCCAGCATTCCCCTCGGAACCTGATCTTGACCTCACTTCAGGAGACAGGTTTCATAGAGTATATGGACCAAGGACCTTGGTATCTGGCATTTTACAACGATGGAAAAAAGATGGAGCAAGTATTTGTGTTAACTACAGCAATTGGTAAGCTGCCTTAACTGTTACTTTAAATTAAAGAGTATAACTCCAGAAAGACACAATCAGTAAGAAAGTGAAACAAGTTATTTAAACTTATTGCTCATTCTTCCTTAAGGTCATTGTGGGTTGCTATAAGAAAGGTTTATATTGTTGCCACTGATAATGTTAATGCTGATTAAGATATTTTAAATACTTCATTGTTTGCTGCTATTCTAGGACACTTACATTGCACCTTTTTGGGTGTTCCCAATAGGAATTACCTAGATAATATCAGTAGCGACACTACATAGGTGAACAACTTTAGTGAAGAAGGAATGAGCAAGAAGAGCCATGTAAATTCAAATTCTATTACAAAAGAAAATAAACATCTTTGAAAAAAGAAAAACTGACATCAATGCAATTATTTAGAACAACTGATTCTAGAACTATTAGGGCTTCAAAATACAACCTATGAATATTTAGAGAATATTAAGTGTAATAATGAGTCATTCAAAGCTCTTTCCTGTAGAACATTTCAGTCTGAAAATCATCACAATGGCTCTTTCAGTGTGCTCAGAGCCTTTCAAAACATGTACTTTTTAATATAATGCCTCTCCAGACTTACTTACTTTCACCCTAGTTAGCTGGAGTCATCTAATTGTTTTGTCATTTTTCGGTAAATTTCATCCCCCATGACCTTTTATGTGAAGAAAGCTGAGCTTTTTAGCAATTTTAGAGTCCTGAGGGTAAACAACTCACAGACACAGTATCATGTTTTATGAATTTTCCTAAAACATATGTCTTTTAAAAGAAAGGAAAATGTTATACAGCTGTCAGTTTTTTACACAAGTCTCACCACTTTATCCTTTAGTTAACCTGTTCAGCCATATGTTTAAAAAGATGTGTTGACTGTTAATAGATATACCATCTGCTCTTTGTAACAATTATGTTCTATTTTTACTTGCTGCTGAAGACCTTGAGTCAGTAGAAAATATTATTATAGCCATAAGATTATCAAAAACCTTCCTCTAAAGTAATCAGAAAGGCAATAAAATTGCACTGATGATTTTTCCCCTAGAGGAAAATTCTACTTATCTTACATCTTAAAAAGCCAAAGTATTTGTTTTTTGAATTTGACTTGTCAGTCAACACACTCGGGGGACAGACCAAAATTAAATGATTTTTGCTTATGCAAACCAGTTTCTTTACTTTTCTATTATCTTTATAAGATTACATAAACACATTTCTCAAATTTTAAAGCAACAAAATGTTTTCTCCTATTATTCCACTCAAAGAAAAATCAGATACATTTCCAAAACAATTAAAAGCCATATAAGTCATTTACCCTAAATTCTTCCCATTCTTTGTTTGTATATTTTATCTGAATCAGAGTAAAAACAGTTCAATATATTTGATTAACCAAAGTCAGGTTGGTATAAATTTGTTCTAAATAGTGCTTATTCATCTATTGATGATATTGATATAAGTTGATTGATCTTAACTACGTTTGGTTTGCTACTAACAAGAATCAAGACAGAATCAATAACTAACATCTATTGAATGAATAATATAGGCCAGATGGTGGCTTATATTAATACATATTATTTTCCAGTAGTATAAGCAGAGCTGTCAATATCCCCTTATCTCAGGCAACCTGCGCTGTAACCTGATAATATATGCCATTTATGAACTGTCACTCTGCCCCAAGCACTGTATTAGATGCTTTACATTCAGTTAGTTTGCTTGATTCTCCTTAAAACCCTGACAGAGCACCTATATAGATTTTTACATTACAAATAAGGAAACTGAGGCCTGGAAAGTGTCACCAACAGCAAGTGACGAAATTGAGATCTGAGATCCAGTCCGTTCCAAAGCCTCATACCGTTTAGATTATACTCATTCCATAAGACTACTTTTCATCTTTAGCTTTCCCACAGTGGAGGGCAACCAGAAACAAAGCCTATCATCAGTGCAGATGCAAATATTAAGGGGCCTTCTACTCTAACAAAAGAATATAATTTTAAACATAGAACTTCAAAATTATTATTAATGTTAATGGACTGGAGTCTAGGAAGTAATTCTGAAGTAAGCTTTAAAAGATAGGAAGCAAAGCTTTCTGGAGGTCAACATAAATAGAAAAACTGTTCCATTTGTATCACTAGTTTTGTTTGTGCTTTTCTGTGCAGCTGGTTTCCTCGTAGAGTCCCTAGGCTGTCCCAGTTGTCTTTTAGACACGCAGTAAAGGTAGCAGCTCCCCAGACCTCTTTTCGCCTTTTCATTTGCATTACTGGAGTTGCTCTCTGTGTAACAGTGTGGGCTCAGGGATAGTTCTTGTCTAAGTCAGTAAGATATAGGGTTATTTATTTTGAGAGCAAACTTTATTAAAGAATTTTTCCAGAATAGTTACATTCTCACAAGGCTCAGTCCATGAGGTTGTGAACAGGATCCAATGTGAAATTCAATTCAACTCTATTTATTTTTGAAAGCTTCCTCTATGGCCTTCTATTGACCATCCACAGCAGGGGAAATCCAAGTGCATATTTACGAACTGTCATTACTGCTTGGTACCAGAAAACTAGATAAATAGAAAATAGAGAAATAATTATTCCATCTTTGAGTTAAAAAAAAAAAAACCCGACTATGCTTTTTCATAATTGCTTGTATTTACAAATTCATAGTTTTCTGGAAATAACTGAAGTTTTAATGAGTTAAAAATCATTGACTCTTTGCCAGTTGTTAAATCCCTGCCAGCCCAGTTGTAGTTCAGTAAATATCACGTGTCATTTGCTTCTCTAGTTCATTTCCCAACACAATGGTTGGAGAACAAAACCATCATAAACTTGCAAAAGGCAATTTGATGTATTCACACAGGTGCAAGAAAAATAATCCCCTTTGATTGATAATAGGCTGGCTATCCACAAAGCCAACTGGATTCATTCTCAGCCTTCTGAGAATCCCCAAATGGACTAGGTACCAGTTTCTTTCTCTTGTTTTATTCTGCCCCAGGCAGAACGCCAACATCGAGATCACAAATTCTCTAACCATTGAAGCTGAATATTTAAAGCACTGGCTCTGAATGCTTTAATGTGGTAAGCACTTGAAGGGTCACCTGAGACACTTCTTAGAAGGCACATTACTGGGGTGCTGCTGTGGCCTAGTAGGTTAAATCTCCACCTGCGGTGCTGCCATCCCATATGGGCACCGGTTCGACTCCCGGCTGGTCCATTTAATATCTAGCTCCCTGCTAGTGGCTTGGGAAAGCAGTAGAAGATGGCCTAAGTCCTTGGGCCTCTGCACCCACATGGGAGACCTCAAGGAAGCTCCTGGCTCCTTGGCTTTGAATCAGCACAGCTATAGCCATTGCGGCCATTTGGGAAGTTAACCAGCGAATAGAAGACCTCTCTCTCTCTCCTCTCTCTCTCTCTCTCTTTCTTCTCTCTCTCTCTCTCTCTCTGACACTGCCTCTAAAATAAATAAATAAAACTTTAAAAAACTTAAAAATAAAATCTTAAAAATGCAGATTACCAGGCTACATTCTTTAGAAACAGGTTCAGTAGATCTGGAGCTAAAACCCAGGCTTCTGCATTCTAAATATCCATGGCATGCTACCACTCATACAAGTCGGCACAGACCACAGTTACAGAAATGCGATTTTTCTACCATTACTATAAATTCTCACTGTTGTTGTTCAGTGGAAGTTGCCAGGACCACCTCCTAGAATCTCTCCCTTTAATTGAAGATAGCTTATCCAAGTGAAAATTGGTGAAGCAGATAATTTGGATTGAAAAAAGGAAAAATTGGCACATAAGTGAAGTGTGAGTTTAATAGGCCAGAACATAAAACTTTTAGTATAGTAGTGTTAGGTATACGACGTTTACAAAATGGAGTAATGACAAGAGGATTTTTTAAAAAACCCCAAACACAGACAAAATCTTACAGTAAAGCATAAATACTATAATAGTTCATAGACTTAGAATTTGATCACTGTTATACTCAAGCACAATTTTAAGCTGGGAACACCCTTAATGTCTTTCGTGGAGTCTGGCCATTTGTATAACATTATAGCTTTTTAGAAAAGTTACCACCAGACTTATCGAAGTTGTGTTGCACTGTACATCTTTGTGTCACCATAGCTGTCTGTGAGTACCTTCAAAGTCTTTTTAATTTTCCCAGAAACCTATTCAAGAATGGATTGAAAAGATATTAGTGGCAGTGAACTGATAAGCATTTACAGTCAAGAAAGCATTTCTCAACAAAATTCTTAGGTTCTAGTGCTTTTAGTGGTGGGGAATTTAATATGAACACTTACTTTAAAAGCATCCAATTGTCACTTATTAATGAAAATGAAATACTGATTATGATATTAAAGCTGTCAAGATAGTAGATTAAATATTCTACGTTGCTAGTGGAGAAACTTTATTTGCTATGACCTGAATTTGAAAAAATGAGGGCCGGCGCCGCGGCTCACTAGGCTAATCCTCCGCCTTGCGGCGCCGGCACACAGGGTTCTAGTCCCGGTCGGGGCGCCGGATTCTGTCCCGGTTGCCCCTCTTCCAGGCCAGCTCTCTGCTGTGGCCAGGGAGTGCAGTGGAGGATGGCCCAGGTGCTTGGGCCCTGCACCCCATGGGAGACCAGGAGAAGCACCTGGCTCCTGCCTTCGGATCAGTGGGGTGCGCCGGCCGCAGCGGCCATTAGAGGGTGAACCAACGGCAAAAAGGAAGATCTTTCTCTCTGTCTCTCTCTCTCTCACTGTCCACTCTGCCTGTCAAAAAAAAAATGAGACTAGTCTTCATGGTTGCATTTTAAGCCTGTTTTACTTTTGAGAAATATCTGATAATCCTGGTACATTTTTAGCCTTATCATGAATGTCTTAAGAATACAATTCATCTAGACCCTTTATGCACTTTGAGATGAATTTCATTTTTAGTTCCACTCTTAAATAGCCAATTCAGCAAATCCAGATCCTTTTAATAATTTTGTCCTGCATGTGACATCTTACAGAAGTCTTTGGCATCTGATTTTGAGCATTAAGTGCTGTGTAGACAGCACAGGGCAAGACTACTATAGGCTCAAGAGTATCTGCAACTTAAAAAATAGTTCTTCAGTTTTCTCTACAGCCTCCTGGCTTATTCATTTTTTTTCTTTTTTTTTCCATTTATAGAAATAATGGATGATTGTTCCACCAATTGCAATGGAAATGGAGAATGTATCTCTGGCCATTGTCATTGTTTCCCAGGATTCCTTGGACCTGATTGTGCTAGAGGTAAAATTGCTTTGCGATTCTGATTGATTTAGAGAAATAGATGTCATTTGAGAACTTGGATTTAGTACTAATAACAAAAGTAGTAGTAGCAGTATCAACTATGGCAGCAGTAACCACACCACTGCCACCCAAAGCACTTACTATGACAAATGCTGTTCTAAACACTTCGTGTTATCTCTTTGGGTAAGATTTACTACTATCCCAGTTTTATGGGTAAACTGGGAGGTCAGGTAATTTATGCAGGGTTACCAAACAGCTGGGACTTGCACCAAAATTGTCTGACTCAACCACTATATGATGCTTATATTTCCTTAACAAATTAATTCACAATGGAATGACTTTAAAAGAAGTTCTGGGGTTCTGTTGCTCAATATGATGACTATAGATAATGTACTGTATATTTTTCTATTTAAAATAGAGGAGGAAAGGATTTTGAATGTTTTCACCTTTTCAAATTTTGAATGTTTGAGAAGATATATATATTTGTCCTGATTAGACATTACACAATGTATAAATGTATTGAAACATCAGTTGGTACCCCATAAATATGTACAATTTTTATGCATCAGTTAAGAAAATTTTCAATATATATATATATACATATTTTTAAAAGGTGGGCCAAATTGGTAACTGCTTATACACACCAATGTAACTGGAGGGAATGGAAAATCATGAACAGGGACATAACCTAGAACATAAAGACTGGAAAGGCAGAAGTTAAATAGCAAACTTGACTGCTTCCTAGATTTGCCCATAGTTTAATCCTTGAAAACCTTTAGGTAAATCACACAGTGTTTTCCTATAAGCCTATAACTATGATTTTACAGATGTTTTTGCTCCTTTTCCATGTGTTCCTGAAGTTTCTGTTCTGTTAACGTTTTACTCTCCAGGTTCTCAGATACTCAGTTTCTTTAGGCTGAATTCCATTCAACAGAATTCTAAAGTACTTTCTAGGTTCCTAGAAGAATTGGGGCTGGGTGTGGAAGTGATTGCTGGTGTTTTAAAATAGAGTAAGATAGGATTTGATTCCTAAAAGTAATATACATTTGTTTGAGGAAGAAAAATTCTAGCTTAGAATAATAGTAATAGTTTAAGAGCATGATGAGATGGGAACAAAAATATGTGAAATAATTTTTTCATGCAGAATATCTTTACAAAATATCTTTACCCCACCCCATAGGAAGAAAATTCTATGTAATCATGAATATGTGCCTATTTAATAACGGGTAAGACAGAAATAGTACGATTTTTGCCTGAAATATTATGCAAGAATCAATAGAGAATTGCTCTTTGGAGATTTTGAAAGCATTATGAGAACATTACAAGTTCATTTACCAACCTTCAGATTCGTGCCCTGTGCTGTGTGGTGGGAACGGAGAATACGAGAAAGGACACTGTGTCTGCCGAAATGGCTGGAAGGGGCCAGAGTGTGATGTTCCAGAAGAACAATGCATTGACCCAACGTGCTTTGGCCATGGCACCTGCATCATGGGAGTCTGCATCTGTGTGCCAGGATACAAAGGAGAAATATGCGAGGAAGGTCAGAGCCCCATTTTGATCTATTGCTTCAGGCTTTGCTCTCAAGAAATGCCCTGGGTGTTATTCTATGCTTCTAGGAAAGAAGCAGCATTGCTTTGTAAACAATAAACGCTCAACATGTCCTTAGTACATGGAGCAGGGGTTGGGGTCAGGCGAACTCATGTCTCTTCTGACAGTCTATAATATTATACACGAGGCTGTATCTGTGGTACTCAGAGCAGTAATGAAAAAATGGTGTTTTCTCCCTCATTTCTAACATTGTTTTATAACTTGGGAATTTCCATATTGATGATTCTAGGTGTTAATTCATATGCTTTCATTATTACAGAATGTATTATGCTACATCTCATTTTAAAGTACATAATAAAATAATATATGCACATTTGGAGCCATTTCACAAATGTTTTCTTTGGGAGTGATTTGTAATTACCATTATTATTATTGCTTCATATCATTTATTTTAACATACCTCGTTCTGAAACTTGACCTCTATGCCTAAGGAAGCAGGCTTACCACTAAGGAGTTTCAAAGAAGTGTCTTTATATTAAATTCACCCCAAAGGAGACTTTGCAAAAAATTTTTGGAAATGGCTATAGTTTCATCATTTAAAGAGACACATTGTGGAATAAGTTTACTACTAATCACACCTGTTTTCATGCCGCATTCCTCAAACAAGGCCGATTTCAGAAATAATATTAAACCATTACTGTGGGAAATGGTCTCATCACAACTGTTGTTCAGGAAAGAGGCTGCTGAAAATGCACTACAATTGCTTTTTAAAGATGGCTCATTAAGACCATTACACAGCATTTTAAAGGGTTTAATCTCATTCCACTCCATGAACAAGCAAGACTTTAGCTCTCCACCTCCGATTAGCAAGAGTAGAATTTTGGTGTGAAGATTGTATCTGTCCAAATGAGTGGCATTAGGCCTGGACCAGGCACCAAGTTCCTGAGTTACTTTTGAAAATTGTTTTTATGTAATCCAAATGAAAGGATAATGTTTGCTATAAATTCAGATGCTGTATGGACACACAAACCACCATGGTTGTCTATCGCAACAACTACAACATGTAATGTAATTAATTTAAACCCTTCTAAGTTAAATTTTGTAAGCAGATGAAAAAGGAATTAGCTCAAATTTGCATTTGTCACTAACAAAATTTATAGAAAAACCAAGATAGCAAGGAAGACTGCTCACCGTATTTAGTGAGACAAACTTATCCCTCTTAGTATTTTTTGTTTGTTTGTTCTACTTAATACTTTTGGTTGAATACTGTAATCAATACACAATTCTTCTTAAGTGCTGAAACTTAACTAAAAAGTGATCACTGTTGAATGTAAGAGTGGGAATAAGAGAGGGAAGAGATGTGCAATTCGGGACATGCTCAAGCTGACTTACCTCAAACAGTAGAGTTAGAAACATACCAGGGGATTCGAATTCAATCCCATCGAGGTGGCATGTACCAATGCCATCTCACTAGTCCCAGTGATCAATTTCTGTTCACAATTGATCGTAATGATAGGACTAAGAACCAAAGGGATCACATAAACAAGACTAGTGTCTGCAAATACTAGCTGATAGAATCAAAAAGGGAGAGAATGGTCCAACATGGGAAGTGAGATACACAGCAGACTCATAGAATGGCAAATATCCTAACAGCACTCTGGCCTCATAATCAGCCCTTAAGGCATGCGGATCCGGCTGAAATGCCCATGAGAGTATTTCAGGCATGGAAAGCCAAGACACTCTGGGGGAAAAAAAAACCTAAATGAAAGATCTCCAGGAGTGAGATCCCAGTGGAAAGAATGGGTCATCAAAGAAGGAGGTACCTTTCTCTGAAGGGAGGAGAGAACTCCCACTTTGACCATGGCCTTGTCTAAAAATGATCAGAGTCAGTGAACTCAGGGGGCTTCCATAGCCTTGCCAGCTCATGACAAGAGCCTAGGGTGATTACTGATGCCATAAATAAGAGTGTCAATTTGTTAAGTCAACAACAGGAGTCACTGTGCACTTACTCCTCATGTAGGATCTTTGTCCTTAGTGTGCTGTACATTGAGATTTAATGCTATAACTAGTACTCAAACAGTATTTTTCACTTTATGTTTCTGTGTGGGAACAAACTGTTGAAATCTTTACTTAATGTATGCTAAACTGATCTTCTGTATATAAAGAGAATCGAAAATGAATCTTGATATGAATGGAAGGGGAGAGGGAGTGGGAAAGGGGAGGGTTGCGGGTGGGAGGGACGTTATGGGGGGGAAGCCATTGTAATCAATATTCTGTACTTTGGAAATTTATATTCATTAAATAAAAGTTAAAAAAATAATAAAAAAACAAATTCAATTGAAAGAAATATTTTAAGTCAGATATTACAGACTATGAGCCTATAGGCTGACGTGAGGTCTATGGATGGTATTATTTGACTCACATAGTGGTAATATTGGTTTTGTTGTTGTTTAATGTGGTATTTACCAAAATTTTAAGAGAGATGTGTCATATAAAAAATCCCTGTTCCTGCTTTCCCTTGAACACTAGAAAATCTGATAGCTGACACACATTACTATACAGTGACAATCAACGGGAGCTGAGTATCAGCAGGTCTCTTGAAACAGGACACTTGGCATTTAGTTTGCTCCCAACTTACATCCAACCCATTTCATTCATGTATTCCATTTGTCTGGACTCTTAGCCATACAACCTGTACCTCTGTCTGAAGTATGTCTTTCATGATTTAAATGAGACTTACACAAATTCATTGAAGTAGACCCTTTTTTCCCAAAATTTATTATTTGAAAGGCAGAGTGAAGAGAGAGAGAGAGAGACAGAGACAGAGAGACAGAGAGAGTGAGTTTTTCCATCTGCTGGTTCTCTCCTGGGATGGCTGCAACAGCTGGGTTCAGGCCACGTCAAAGCCAGAAGCCTGGAACTCCATCCGGTCTCTATCTTGGACGGCAGGGGCACAAGCACTTGAACTATCATTCACTGCCTTCCCAAGCATATTAACAGGGAGCTGGATCAGAAGTGGATCAGCCAGTAGCAGCATTCTGATATGGGATGCAGGCCTCCCAAGCAGCCTCTTAACCCACTGAACCACAACACCTGCCCTTAAGGACAGCTCTTAATAAATAAGCCATGTTAAGATAAATAATATTTTGTTTACTAAAATTTTTAATGTAACAAAATAACCTCCCTCTAAAAAATTCTATACTTTGAACCTTCCCTCTCTCCAAATGATAAACCAAATTAGATATACCTTCTGGTATTTATTTGCTAATTAGCTCAGGTAGTAGGGTATTGTGCTAATGAACCTTAGATCTTGGGCTAATTATAATGGCAGTAACACTAATTATAATAGTGCTTAGCTAGACTTACTCTGTTCCATAGCCACAAGCCACACCCTAAATCAAGGAGAATCTTGCAAATATAGGCAGGTTTTGTCCATCTACTCCCATTACTAGAAAAGTGATTTGAAGCACACATCCTCACTATGAAAGTTATTTTAGCCTCATGTTAATTGTAAAAGAAGACAAAAAATTTGGAAATGAATCTTCCCATTTCCAATGAAATGATTATTCAGTTATAAGTGTAAAACAATTTTCCCCAAGAAAAGCATAGGAGTCTACCTCTAAAATAGTTTATACATTTGTCAGAACATACACAATCATTGCCAGCCTCGCAGAATCAGAGACACATTGAGTGGGCCTGTGACATTGAAAACTGTGTCACGGTGTCCTGATAGAAGTCATGAAGAAAAGAATTTTAGAATTAGATTTAAAATGTTGCATTTTCAGTGCTTCTAAGGAATAAATGAGAAATTATAATAAATTGATGTAATTTCTATTCTTTCATGCAACAGCAATTACCTTACCCAAAACCTGAAATAATCCAAAATTTTTTTTTAAATTGTGTAAACTCCTCTTGATACGTCAAGTAAAAGTCCTTTCTGGTAGCTATGATTGCAATTTCAGAAAGGATAAGAAATTGTTTACCAAAAGCCTCTCTGTTTTGCAAAGGCAAAAAAAAAAAAAAAAAACCCTCTTAAGGTCCAAACCAATCTACCCACCTTTTTATGTGTGGCACTGCACACCATCCACAATTTTCACAGCTTACATGCGGTTTTCTGTTAAATTTAGGTTACAGTCTTTCTGACTTGAACACAGTGTTTGCATGTATCAAGTCGTTTTATTGTCAAAACAATATTAATGATCTAAAATGATCAGTATTAATGATCAGTATTAATAAGTCAGAAATCCATGTATCTCAATTGCACTATTTTAAGGTGTGCTCTTCACATCTGTTCCTTACTAACATCCACCCCCTCCATTTTTGGGCTTTCAGAGGACTGCTTAGACCCAATGTGTTCCAGCCATGGCATCTGTGTAAAAGGAGAATGTCACTGCTCTACTGGCTGGGGAGGAGTCAACTGTGAAACTCCACTTCCTATATGTCAAGAGCAGTGCTCAGGACATGGGACTTTTCTTCTGGATGCTGGAGTGTGTAGCTGTGATCCCAAGTGGACAGGATCAGACTGCTCAACAGGTACCTATACAGTTATTTCTTTCTCCTCATTCCACCGCTCCAGAGTTCTAACTACTTCTTCCCTTAGGGTAGTGCTTCTTAAAGTGTGATGGGGATGCTTTAGTGGATTATAAGGAGTTTCCAGGTATTTCCCAGTTTGCTATTTTACTGCATTTTCACTTATGACACACTGTTGCCTGTTTTCTTTTTCTTTTTTTTTTTTTCATCTTATTTTTTTCCATGGTGTGTGCTTAAACTTCTGTCCTCATTCTCTATTCTGTAGTCCTTTCAGCCATTCCTAAGTCTCCTACTACAGGTTCTATACAGATTATTTTCAATCTGTGCTTCACCCAAGCTTAAGAATCAGGCCTCTGTAGCCATCTGCTAAATATTGCTACTGGGTATCCCATCACCTAAAACACAATTTATCCCAGGAACTCTACTCCATTTTATGTAAAGCCATATTAATACTCAATTACTGGCCGGCGCCGCGGCTCACTAGGCTAATCCTCCGCCTTGCGGTGCTGGCACACCGGGTTCTAGTCCCGGTCGGGGCGCCGGATTCTGTCCCAGTTGCCCCTCTTCCAGGCCAGCTCTCTGCTGTGGCCCGGGAAGGCAGTGGAGGATGGCCCAAGTGCTTGGGCCCTGCACCCCATGGGAGACCAGGAGAAGCACCTGGCTCCTGCCTTCGGATCAGCGCGGTGCACCGGCCGCAGCGCGCAGGCCGCGACGGCCATTGGAGGGTGAACCAACGGCAAAGAAAGACCTTTCTCTCTTTCTCTCTCTCTCACTGTCCACTCTGCCTGTCAAAAAAAAAAAAATACTCAATTACTATTCCTACAACGTTTCTTTCCTTTTCCCATTCCCCACCCCAATATATTCCACAGTTCTCCGTTGTCTACAGATAACATATCCTAGCCTGTTATCAAAATCCCATCTCAAATTATTCTATATCTCTGCCTCCAACCTATCTTTCACTTTCGCATTCTGTACAAATTCTTCCTTCTGCCAAAATAGTCTGTATGCTGTCCTTATCCCCAATGCATCATATTTTCACACTTTTGTCCATGCTTTTTCCTTCGCATAGAATGCTATTATCTTTCCACCAAGGCTAACTAAAATTTTAGCCATCCTATGAAACCCTTCCTATCATATCAATTGGTGTCCCCTGAAATAATATCTATGGTATACATTGCTAGAGAGCAAAGAAGGCATTGTGATACAGGTATTTGTACACAAGGCTTGTTTTTTTTTTCCCACCTGAATTATAAGCAACAAAAACAATGGACAAATCTTTATACTTTTTTCATTAACTTTAGACTGTGTACTCATTAAATGAGTAGAATTAATGAATGGTGACTCCTACAAAGCATCTGCCCATGAATTTTGTTGAAGATGTAAAATGAAAGAAAACAGAAGGATCAGTGTGTTGTGGGGCTCTTTGTACCACTGAATTAGTTTGTGAACTGAAAAGTCTGTGATCATACATTATAAAAACACAGGAGGATTCCTCCACTAGGAGAATTAGTTAGTTCTAATATAATAAGCCTCTGAAATTTGGTCACCTTGCATACAAATAAGGGGGAGAGACTATAGCATTTGATAATTTCAGAAAATGATCCAAATGTTAAAGAAATCTGATTATCACTAAAATGCAAACCTTAACATCATTCATTTATATAACTAACAAATATTTGTGTGCCTTCTGTATGCTTGGTATGGTGCGTGGTGCAAGATGGATGTGGTTGTTGCACAAATGTATCTTAGAATACAACAGAGGAGACACACTGAATAAGTTCAAAAGGAATAATGAAAGGAAAGTCACTGGGTGTTATGGGACTGTAGAATTGGAACCTAATCTGATTATTAACTTATATAGTAAATGTTATTAGATACCTTTTACCCTTCCTTGTGTCAGACTATCATGGCCTAGAGCTTAAAGCTTAAAGTCATATTGTTTATATTATTATATTATTATACCAAACACATAATTATGTGTTAGTCATTTCTGTTCCGAATGCTGTATATACATTAATGAATCCTCATAATCTATGAGATAAGCACAATATTTATGCCCACTTTTCACACGAAGAAACTGAGACATGGAGATGTGAAATGACTTGCCCACAGTCATCCATATAAGTGTCAGAATTTGTACTAGCTTCATGGCCAACCACTTAAACCACTGTAAATGTATTGACCTCAAGAAGCCCATCATCTAATTCACCGTGTGTAAAAATGTGCCGCTGTTAGGTCATGTTCAGGGTCATGTGCCACATGGGGAACAGTAGATTCTGTGGATGAGAAGAGTCCTTATAGCCAGATAAGGATTTGTAGCAGTCATAACACTGAAATTAATACTGGAAAGGTTATTGCATGTTTGTCAGTGGAAAAGAGGAAAGAATATTATAGGCAGAAGGAGTAGCTTAAATAAAGTATGAATCTAAATGACACATTTGGGTACTTGCAAGTCACTGGATGGGGCTGCAACCTAGAAGGGCAGAAAGATATAAAACTGGTGAGATCAGCAGAGGGCAGAGTATGGGAAACTTATTTACACACCATGCTAAAGAATTTACATTTTCGGGGCTGGCACTGTGGCGCAACTGGTTAAGCTGCCACCTGTGATGCGGGCATCCCATATGGGCACTTGTTCAAGTCCTGTCTGCTCCAGTTCCAACCCATCTCCCTACTAATGAACCTGGGAAAGCAGCAGAGGATAATCCAAGTGCTTGGGCCTCTGCATTCATGTGGGAGACCTGGAAGAAGCTCCCGGCTCCTGGCTTGAGGTTGACCCAGCCCTTGCTGTTGATGTCATTTGGGGAATGAATCAGCAGATGGAAGATCTCTCTCTCTCTCTCTCTCACTGTGTGTGTGTGTGTGTGTCTGTCTGTCTCTGTAACTATACCTTTCAAATGTATAAAATAAATCTTTAAAAATGAATTTAAATTTTCTCATGATGCAATAGGAAAGCACTGAATAACTTGAACCAAGCTACATGTAAAATAGACCATTCTCACGGCAGCATATTGCTTGGAAAGTGATGATACAGGGAACTATATGAGAGGGTTTCAGAAATTTCATAGAAATGGGATAAAAATATGAGCTTATTTTGCTGGAAACATTTTTAAATGCATATTGGGGGATATTCAAAAAGTTCATGGGAAATGTATATTATGAGAAAAAACTACACATGGATTTCAGAATTATTTTGAACCAAAATAAACTTGCCTTTTAATTCTATTTCCCTATGAACTCTTTGATGTATGCTCACACAGAATACAGCAGGATTATTGGAGTAGTCCAGGAGCATGGTGGAGAGGGCCTGCCTGAAATGAAACTGTAGTTGTAAAACTAGTAGACAAACCAGAGGAGATACTGTGTAGATGAGAGAGAGAGAGAGAGACAGACAGACAGACAGACAGAGAGACAGACACAAGAGTGCAGAGCAGCCAGGGATAACTATTTGGAACATCATAATAAAGAAACACTACCAGCAGAGGGAGAAAAGGCATAGGCAGAAAAGCAGGTTTGGGACAGAGGGGCCAGGCATTGTAAGCTCCTTTGTTGATATGCTGTGCCTGAGGCATCTGCAGTAGATCCAGGTGGCTATGTCCAATGATCACTTGATAGTTATGAATGCAACTTATAGAAGAATCCTGAGTTGAAGATAAATATATGGTGCATAGTACAGATCACAGGAATGCACATCATTGTTCAGAGAGTGTTTAGAAAATGAGAGAACACCAACATTTAATGTCTTTACTATGGTAAGGTTCATTGAGTCATATACCTCTCTTGATATATGATTTAGTAAACACTGACAGATTAAATAGTGATACCATATCATATACATGCTGTCAGATCACTCACCTCTCTTCTGTGTCCTTCATGATGACTCAGAAATGCATAAGATTACTAGTAATGGACCAGTCACTCACCAGTTGTATAATCAAATATTTGTATTTCCAAAGAATTGACATTAAGGTAAATATGCGGAGAATTTCTTTTTCCCTGCCCAGTCCTATACCCTATCACACAGACATGCATCAGACCTGTCAGCAAAGAAGAAAATCACACACAAGAAAGAAAAAAGCTAATTATAAACACACCTCTACACTCCCCCTCCTTCCTTCTCCAGATCAAAGTCCTTAAACCCACCCTAATCTTCCTTCACACCAAACAACCCCTAACCCCAAGACAGATCAAATGGTGAAAGAAAAGTGACATCCCTGTAGAATCTTAGATCTTTAAGAAAGTAGTTTCATGTCCCCAAATATGGTGGTCTCTAGTGTGCCTACCTCAGTATCCCTAAGGATTTTAATACACTGAGATACAGAAAGTCTAAGCAGTTTGCTCCATAGTGTGAGAACTATTGCACTAATATAGCATCCTGAATTAATTGTTCACTTGCCAAATATTTACTGAGCACCTAGTATGTCTCCATACACCTGTGCAACCATGATATATAAAAATGATGAAGCATAATATCTATAGTTGTGGAGAGAATGTGAACAAAGATGTAAAATGCCTTGCACTAAGTGCTAAAATGGAGAACAGATACATAATGTGCAAGGATCATTTAATATTATCTTAATATTGAGGACATGGTCACAAAGGACTTAATAGCTCATGAGCATCCCGGTATGTCATGTCTAGAAATTTAAGCTTGATCCTGAGGGCAATGGGAAAGCCCTGGCAAGATTTTAAAGAGGACAATGTCGTGACCATGAGTGTAGATCTGATTATTGTTTATAGCCCTTTCCTAAACTCCTGAGGAACAGCAAATTTTTTCTTCTTGTTAAATTATTTATTTAGTGGAGGGTTAAGCTTGTTATTGTAAGTAAATTGAAAGCATGTCATTGCAAAAGTTAAAAGAAAAATAAGAAAGTAAGGAAAAGAAGAGAGGGTGGGAAGTATCATTTTGCTCTTAAAACTCTCTATATAAAGTACATGAAATTTGTTCTCTTTGTATAAATAATAACTTTAAAAAAAAACAAAGAAAAATCATTCTGTGAATG